GCATTCATCTTTTTCTTGAATACCCATTTCACACCTATGAGTTGACTTCCTTCTGGTAATTCTATCACTTCCCATGTGTTGCTGCGATGAATCGCTTTAATCTTCTCATCCATGGCAGTTTGCCTCTTCGTGTCTCGCACCGCCTCTTCAAAGTTGATATTTTCAGCATTTGCAGAAGACATACAAGGTGTACCTCATCTGTTGAGTCATACAAATCTTGCAAACTCCGCATTTTGGGTTGTCGTGGTTCATTTTCATCATCGAAAATTTCTGAGTCTATTGGTGCACTTGTTAGTGCAGCGACTGATGATTCTCCTACTTCGATATTGACTTCCGTTGAATTATTCGTCCTATTTGCTTGCTTCATTTACTCACACATCATGACTCACTATCACCATCTTGCTAATCAGAACAAGTAGTTTGTATCCTTTTGTCTTCTCATCATATCTAATAAAGATATACCTTTTGCTTTTGTCTTCGAGCTTTGTTCTTTGTTGGTTCGGTACGTGAGCATAAGCCACACTACCGAACACTTTGAGATGAGAGATTGTAGGCTTCTGTCTGCTCTAGGTCTCTTGTGGTGTTTGATCATCTAACTTTGCATGTTGACATCGATTTTGTATGTAGATAGTGCATTGCGCACCTACTGCCCAAAATTCCTTCAGCATCCTTTTGCTCTTGAGCATTGAGTGAACCATGTCGAGAATGGTCCGATACTCTCTCTCGGTCACACCATTTTGTTGAGGGGTGTACCAGGCGGTTAGAAATCACCTTATGCCTTGCTCCTCACAATACTCCATGAAAGTCGTCGAAGTATACTCGCCACCTCTATCGGATCGTACAGCTTTGATGTGTCTACCATTTTCCTTCTCCACCCTTACTTTGAACTTTTTGAACACCTCAAATGCCTCAGATTTTCCTTTTAGAAAGTAAGCCCAAATTTTCCGTGAGTAATCATCGTTAAAGGAAATGAAATACCTCTTTCCATTGAAGGACTCGGGGTTAATTGGTCCACATATATCTATATGGATCAACTCGAGAGGTTGTTTAGCCCAAAATTCAGCCTTCTTTTGAATTGAGGTTCTCACATGCTTGCTGAGCATGCATTCTTCACAAAATTTTCCTTCAAAGTCTATGTTTGGTAGCCCATGTACTATATTCTTCTTCGCTAACTCCTTTAGGCCGCCATGATGTAGGTGACCAAAGCAGAGATGCCACAGTGATACCTTGTCTTCTTCGTCGACTCGCATACACTTTTCTTGTATGCTTCTTAAGTACAATTTGTACATCCGATTTCTTTGTATCTCGACTCGAGCAACTAAACGCCCTTTCTTATCCTTCAGGTGTAGTAGGCGGTCCTTTAGGAATATTGAGTAACCTTTCTCTGTGAGTTGCTTCATACTTAATATATTGGTCTTGAGGTCTGATACGTAATAAACATCTTAGATTGACCCCATTACACCATCCTTTTGCAAGAAGTATTGTACCTCGGCCTTTGACCTCCACCTTTGACGCATCTCTAAATGACACATGACCATCTTCAATCTTTTGCATTTCTTTGAATAGGTGCTCATGACCGCATATATGGTTGCTTGCCCCTGAGTCGAGGTACCACAGAGTGTCGTTGTTGATGTTCTCTTCATCTTGAGCCATCAAGAGAAGACCTTCATCTGTTACGTCTTCCACGACTAGGTTGGTTGTTCCTTCCACCCTTTTTTCGATTCGACAAGCTTTTGCAACGTACCCCATTCTGCCACAATTGTAACATTTTTCGGAGTTACAATTATTCGCACAATGACCATATTTTTTACATTTATAGCACTGAATGTTTGATTGGCCGCCTCTTCCTCGACTGTGTCCTCTTCCACACCAATTTGCTTGGCTCGATAGTCTCTTCTCATTATAGATTTCTTCATTACTATTGCCTTGACTACCTCGACCATTCTCCCAACTTCCTTGACCTCTACCTTGAGTATTTTGAGAGTAGAGTACCTTTTCATCCTTTATTGATGCCTTAGTTTGAAGCGCTTGATCTAGTGTCTCCTCCTTCTTTTTTTTACGTTGCTCGTGTGCCTCGAGAGAACCGACGAGCTCATCGACAGTGAACATCGCTAGGTCCTTCAACTCTTCTATGGCACATACAACATTCTCGAAGTTGTCTGTTAACGACCTCAAGATCTTCTCCACAACCTGCCTCTCGGGTAACATTTCTCCGTTTCGATTTAGTTGATTTTCCACGGTCTGTTCGAGCGTAATGTAGTCAGATACATTTTCTGACTTCTTCATCTTCATGCTCTCCAACTCACCATGCAGAGTCTGGAGACACACCTGCTTGACTCGGTCGGTTCCTTTGAACACTTTTGCTAAAGTGTCCTACGTTTCTTTTGAAGTAGTTTCCCTTACAATCTTCTCAAAGCCCGACTTGTCAACAACCCGGAACAACATGTATAATGCTGCCTTATCCTTTAATCGTAATTCTTTTAGCACCTTGTTTTGCGCCCCCGTATAACCCGTGGTATCCTTCGGTTCTTCGAAACCTTCTTTGACCACCTCCCATGCGTCTTGAGAACCGAGAAGAGCTTTCATTTGGATGCTCCAATTCTCGTAGTTTGTCTTCGTCAATTGTGGTAGCGACATTTGTCCCATCATGTTTGCCATAGGCTCTGTTACCAATTTGTTGAAAGAAAATTCCCTTTGATACCAATTTGTTGAAAATAGTAATCCGCTTTGATACCAATTTGTAGAAATAAATGCTCGCTCTGGAACTAACTTGTTAAAATAACACTCACGAAGCGGAGATGTCGAGAGGGGAGAGATAAAGAGACAAAAAATTCTGAAAAACTCTTTTCTATTACAATACTTTTTAACTCTGTAACTCTTTTTTAGCATGTAAAACTAATTAATTTATAGGTTTTCTAAAATTTAAAAATAGGTATCCCATGACCCACCCTCTTCTGAAATGATTATTGACCCTTCAGTCTTTCTTTGGCCTTTCTCACTCTCAAAAACCTTACTAAAATTAAGGGCACTTTCAAAAACCTTACTAAAATTAACAAAATTAAAAACTACATTTCTTTATTTAAGTTTATTCCCAATACAGTGGGACAAAATTTGTGACATTTGTACCACTCAATGTTGGAATAATTTGATTGGTCGCCTCTTCCTCGACGGCGTCCTCTTCTACGCCAATTTGCTTGACTCGACTGTCCCTTCTCCTTATAGTATTCTTCATGATAGCTACCTTGACTACCGCGACTACGACTTCCATGACCACGACCTCTACCTTGAAAATTTTGAGAATAGAGTACCTTTTAATCTTTGATTGACGCCTTGGTTTTGAAGTGCTTGATTGAGTGACTCTTCTATCGCGCATACAACGTTCTCAAAATTGTTGGTTAATGATCTCAAAATCTTCTCCACAACTGCGTCTCGGTTAAAATTTCTCCGTTTCGGTTGAGTTGGTTTACCACAGTTAGTACATGCGTGATGTAGTCAGATACACTTTCCGACTTCTTCATCTTCATGCTCTCCAACTCGCCACGAAGAGTTTGGAGACGCACTTGCTTGACTTGGTCGGCCCCTTTGAACACTTTTCCTAACATGTCTCACGCTTCTTTTGAAGTAGTTGCACGGGTAATCTTCTCAAAGCTCGACTCGTCAATGGCTCGGAACAACATGTATAGTGTCGCCTTATCCTTTGATCGCACCTCTTTCAACCCCTTGCTTTGTGCTGCCGTATAACCTATGGTATCTTTTGGTTATTCGAAACCTTCTTTGACCACCTCCCATTCATCTTGAGAACCGAGAAAAACTTTCATTTGAATGCTCCAATTCTCGTAGTTTGTCTTTGTTAGTCGCGGTAGCGACATTTAACCAGTCACATTCGCCATTGGCTCTGGTACCAAATTGTAAAAAGCAAAAAAAAAAAAAAAAAAAAAAATCTCAATCACACTATTTTTTCTTCTGGACAAAGCCCTCTATTTTTTTCTGAAAAAAAAAATACTTTTCTATTATTCTCTGTTTTATGTCTTTTTGTTCTACATCAATAAAAAGAACCATCTATTTAGAAGCATTCACATGGTCTTCTAAAAATGAAACAAAAACTAATTGGAGCCATAAAAATTACATTATCTCCTATAATAACTTTTGGTCTTTAGACTCCGTCTTTCACTTTTCACTTTTCTACTAGGTTCTAAGTTTAAAACCCACTAAAGACAATAATATTTAATATTTATTCAACACATAAGGCCAGTCAATTTCTTAACTACATAAAAATCGTTGTAACTCAAGTTAAGCTTGCATGAATTGACCGAGTCAAATTCGAAACATTTGAATAAACCTTTTACATCATAAAAGCGAGGAAACTTACAAATGTATGTCACTGAACAAATCTAGACCAACTAAAATTATTCCGAGCTTAAAAAATGGTCCATTGACCTCATTCTTAAATACTTGATGTTCAAGGAAAACATTTTTGTTCATCCAAGACTCAAGATTCCTAGAGCTTGGTATAACCGTCACTCTAGAAATATGAAGTTAGTTTGGAGGTTCATTTTGTTACTCCTTTTAGATTTTGATTAAACTATTATGTTCATGATAAACACTACTCCCAATTAGGTTAAGAACCTTTTCAAAAATTTAGTACAAAATAAATTTTACAAGTGGTTGGCATTAGTGAGTCATAAGACAAACTAATTGAAATTGATTGAAACTTTATGAAGGAAAAATTAGAGAAGGGGTTAATATGCATTAGTTATGTGCCTTCTCAACTTCAACTAGCAAATATACTGACAAAGGGACTTCACGACTCAATGGTTCATGCGTTAATATCCAAGGTAAGAATGGATGATATCTCTTCTTACACTTGAGCACTCATGCTTTCAGTGACTATTTAAAGACATCTTCTATGTAAAAATTCGTATGACTGTTTACATCTTGTAATACTTGAATGATCATTAGCTAGGACCTCTACAATTTTTCTAACAAAGACCTCATACAAAAAGGGTTAGTCAACACATTGCATACATGTAATAAACACATTAACCGACACACCCATAAGTTCAAAAGGTATAAAAGAAAAATGGAAGTATCCACTTTTCATTTTTCTTCCATAAGTTTCAAGTTCATTTGGAGTCACAAGGGGTTTTGACAAATGATAACCCACATAATACAGCAAGGCTTTGGGATTGGGTTGACCAATTTTTGGTGTCAAAGAAGTTGTCTAAAACGTTGGGCATTGCATTATTTCACACCTTCAAAAACCAACCCTTTGCAGTGGTCTTCTCTTTTTCTCCCCTCTCCCCCATGGCATTTTATTTGCGACAATGGTGGTTGTGAGGGCAACGACGTCTGCCTGCAACGGAGAAGACGACAGACCAGTAGCTTTTTAGTTATGAGGGTTTTCAGTCACATGGCTAAGCATCCATGCTGGTATTTGGATGTTGTTGGTGCTGGTTGGCCTTGTTTCATCTTCATCTGATCCTCTCCCATGGCAGTTTACTCTACATTCAAATGAATAGTTATCATTATTTTGTTTTGGTCTTAAGATTAGGTTTCTAAATTGAGTTGGTGAAGATGGAAAAGAGTTTTGTTTTGTTAAAAAGAGTAAAGAGGCGTATACCCAATTGACAAAGAAGGAAGTGGTGGTGGCGTTGCTAAAATGTGGTGATTATGATCCAAATTTGTGAGCTCGCAATGTCCACGTTCAACCCAAACCGTCTCATTCTCTTTTACCTTATATTTCCAAATCATAAAATAAAGAACATAAGACAATAAGTTACTTAAATAAAGAACACCGAATGGGATATTAATTTATACCTTATTTGCTAGCTTCCTGTTCTCCTCTTGCAGTTCCTTTTCCTGCAACCATTTATGAACCAATTGTTGAGCATGGTTGGGGTGGAGTCCACACTGGCTAATTTAGAGAATCATTGTGGGTTTATAAGTGACGAATACTATCTCTATTGGTACGAGGCTTTTTGGAGAAGCCCAAACCAAAATCATTAGAGCTCATGCTCAAAGTAGACAATATCATGCCATTGTGGAGCGTCGTGATTCATAACAAGGTATCAGAGCCATGCTCTAAACTTAGCCATGTCAAACAAAGTATTGTGAGCCTCGAAGGTATAGTCAAAAGTGACTAAAAATACTCACTTGACTAATTTAGGGTTTATAAGTAAGGAATACTATCTCCATTGGCATGAGACCTTTTAGGAAAGCTCAAAATAAAGCCATGAGAACTTATGCTCAAAGTGGACAATATCATACCATCGTGGAGAGAGACGTATTTCCTAACACCAAATTTAAACATCATGGAAGAAAGAAATTAGAGTCATACATGAAAATGATGCCAAACAATTGGTTCAAATGTAAGTTATTCACCTTTTTGTGTAGCTTTGAAATGGATTCTTGCATTAGTTGGTTCTGCAACGAAGTAACCCCAAATGATGCTAAGAATTATAAAATTTTGGAGATGAAGAGCAAAATTAGGGCATTAAAATTAGGGCATTGTTAAGGGCAGACCTTTCTGGCTCTTATGCGCTTGAGTGATGAATCAAGTTGTTGTTCCAAGCTTTGAAGTTCTCTCAAATTCAAAGGGTCAAGCTCTTCACCCAAATAATGCCTAAACAAGTAACAACACAAACATTTATTAATACTTGAAAAAATATTTGAAGAGATTCACATCCCATTTATGGTGCCAAATTTTCGTATGATTGTCTAACAATTGTTCGTAAATATGATATCAAAATGAATAATAGTACATAAGAACTGTTCAAATACCTTAAATTCTTCTGCACAATCTCCAATCTGGCTGCAAGCTTTGGATACTCCTGACACCAACTTACCTGCCAAACCATTTTAATTATTCTTTAATATGTTAATAAGAAAAGGAGAAAAGTTCCTTCTATTTTTCTACTATTCATCCTACATAAACTGTAGTAACTCAGTACTGAAAGTAATGTTATAATGGAACAAATTAGTAATAACTAAGAATTGTGGGTCAAATGAACTAAGAAAGATATAACTAGCAATGAAGGTGAGATATGTTTATTTACCTGTGATTCAGAATCTCGATTTGAGGCCAATGGTCTCTCTGCATAAGAATATCTTTCATATTTTTCTAAGATTTTCTCCATGCTGTTTTTGGAAACCAAATCAAAGCCTTAATTATTAATATTATTATCATTATTATCACTATTAATATTATTAATATTATTCACAAATCAATGGCATTCAAAAAACAGTATGAACAGATTATGAATCACATGCATGCTTTTACATCCATCTCATGCATACATAAATTAAAACCAAATTTCATTATTAAGGTTTGACTCCTTTTTTAGTGCATCTTTTTACATGAAATTATATGATTCAAGAGACCTAAATCTCTTCCTTCGAGGTCACTAAGAACAACATAGAGATATTCAAATACTAGGTTCGAGCTACGAAGCAAGAAAACTAACAAAAAAAAATAAAAAAAACATCATGGTCTCCCGACACGTGGCTCTAGGTTTTTCACCTGTGTCCAACAAAGCCAATTCAATTTAAAAAAAAAAAAAATAATAATAAGAATAAAGAAAAAGGACCAATGGTTAATAAAACAAAAAGTTGATATAAAATTTGGAGGTACATCGAAATTCTGCTGCAACGCTCCATGTTTTTCTCCTTGTTTCAGAGCATCAAATCAAATAAATACATGTACTGTGTGTCGTCTTTGTGTCTTGTCTACTACATGCATATAATAATTTCTACACTAAATTTAACTGAAATGCCAACACAAATACAAGTAAATGAAGTAAAAATTCAAAGCATACCCATTAAATAAAAAGCCAAAAAGAGAGAGAAAAACATTATTTTTCTTGGTTGTTCTTTTGAATTTAGTCAAAAAAAAAAAAAAAAAAAAGTCTAAGATGATAAAGATTGTTTTTAAATCTTTTATTTTTGTTTACATAAGCAAATCTGTAGGCTAATTATTATAAAAAAACAGACGAATTAAAGCCTAGCAACTCGATCTAAATCGATAAATTTGAATTGAGTATGAAGAGAAAAAGATTAAAAAAAAGAAAAGAAAAAAAGAGTATGAAATAGAATGGGGAAGAACCTGGAATGAGAGGAGTACTCAAAGAGCTTGCCTTTGGTGGAGAAGACGATCAAAGCAACATCTGCATCACAAAGAACAGAGATCTCATGGGCCTTTTTGAGCAAACCAGCTCTACGCTTTGAGAAGGTGACTTGGCGGCTGATTTTGTTCTCTATTCTCTTCAGCTGAACTCTGCCTCTTCCCATGGCGGATTTTCAAACAAAATAAACCCTAACCCTAAAAAGATGGAGCTTTTTTGTTACACAACAGAAGCATCTGTGCTATGGGAAAGAAGAACAAGAAGAACAGAAAGAAGAAGAAGAAGAAGAATTGTTATTCTTATTGTTTCCTTTATTGTTGATTTGCCCTCGAACCAAAGAAGAGATTGTTGTTGCTAACGTGGGGAAGAAAGAAACAAAGAAAAATAAATAAATAAATAAATAATAATTCTATAATTGTTTGTATTTTTATTTTTTTATTTTTTTGGAGGAAGAGAGAGGATAGTACAATTGAGTTGTCGAACAATGGTTGGAGGAAGAATGAGTAGTTAATGTCTCATCCAAATTTATAATATGAAAGAGTTTGTGAGTTTGCATTTTGTGGTGGTGGGGGCCTTAAAAAGAAACTTATTTTAGTTTTCTACTTCCTTATTTATTTATTTGTTTCTTTTCTGAGTATATGAGTATACGAGCGGTGGTGTGACACTTGTTTTATTCTTGAATAAGTAAGTCAACTCAAATTTGAATAATTAATGATCGAAATGATTTATCTCATACAAAAGAGTATTTTTTAGAAAGTAAATAACTTTGGATGAGAAGGTTTGAATTATGAGGCAAATTTGGTTTTGGCACGAGTAAATACTAAAGTGGAAAGGAGTCATACACTAACAAATAAAAGGTTAGATATGGACATGGTTTAGGGTCATAATATCCCCTCTCAATTATTGGTTGAGATCATTTTCAACCAAGTATGTTTAAACTTAATTTAAACAGTGATTGGCTTCAAGTCTTCAGCACTCTCAACCAATCTCTCCATCTTCAAATCCTTTCCACTTTACCAACGAAACTGTTCTTCCGTAACCATTTATCCATAACATCGAAGAAATCATTTTCGTGCATTGGTGACAGCAGAGAAATTTGGTAGAATTCTTTAGGAGGATAATTTTGTATGACTAGGAAAGAATGCTTAATTGATTTTCTACTTCTTCCACCAATTCTAACGTACATATTTTGTTATCATTTGATGCTAGAGAGATCAAAACATATTTATGAATAAATCAACTCCAAAATTGCTTGAGCTCTTCTCGATTTTTTGGATATAAAAGAATTTCTTTCATGCTTTGCTACTACACCGCTCTCGCAAATTTCTATTGGAGGAGTGATGTTTGGCAACCCAGTCACCATCTTCTTTGAAGATAACGTATTTAATCCTTTAAAGTGTAGATGACCATACTTATAATGTCAAAGTCAATTGGTATCTTCTTTCTTCACCATCAAACTTCTGGCAATGATATTTAACGTCAATGAATATAAGCGGTTGATGGTCATCTGCATCTTAGCAATCGATCCTCTTCTCGAGTCATAAATCTCACATTCATTATATTTGGAATGTGATCACATACCCATTTTCTTGCAATTGACCGATACTAAGCAAGTTGACCTTTAGATCAGAATGTAAAACACATTAGAAATTGACTCTACAAACCCATTTCTAATCTTGATATCTACCGTTCCTTTCCCAATCACTTGGACAGTTGAATTGTTGCCAAGACAAACAGTAATATAAAAAATTTCATCCAGAGTTAAGAAAAATTCCTTACCACCTGTCATATGGTTGTTGCATCCAGAGTCTACGACTCACACACCTTGATCTACAACCTTCATAGCATGAAATGACATTAACAATGTTTCTTCTTCTCTTTTCTCCGCAAAGTTGGATTGGTCTCTTTTCTCCTTTTGGAGCCTGGTATAACATTTATTCTTGTAATGTCCAAGGGGACCACATCTGTAGCATTCTACCTTAGACTTGTCAAAATGTATCTTGTCTTTGTTGTCATAATCGTCTCTGACTAGATCTGCTTGACTTGCCAATATCTCCACTTCTTTCTCAACCACCTCTTTCATGACCTTGGTCTCTTCTTTGCCCTCTACCTCTAGAGCTTGAAGTTTCACCTGGTGTGGATATCTTTAAGGTTATCTTCTCCTCTATTGCACTCGTGCGATTAAGCTTCTACTCATGCACTATCAAAGAGCTTTGAAGTTCATCTATTTGCATCTCTTCGACATTGTTTGCTTCTTCAATAGAACATACAATGTAATCGAACTTTGGAGTTAGAGATCGCAAAATCTTTTATACAACTGCAACATCTATGATTAAATCATCATGCATCCTTATTTTACTTGCAAGACTCATAACCTTGCCAAAATAATCATTCATCGTTTCTCCCTTTCGCATTTCGAGAATTTCAAAGTCTCTTCTAACTGCTTGAAGTTGAGCATGCTTTACTCTCATTGAGCCTTGATACTTCCTCCTCATTGAATCCCAAATTTCCTTGGATGTCTTCTTCTAGTGCATCATTTCCAAGATAGTCTAATCAATGGACTGGAACTACTTGACCTTCAGGTCCTTCAACTTTGATGATGTCGACCGTTGGTGTTGAACAGCTGAAAGTACCTCGCCTTCATTTGGCTCTACATAACCCGTCTCCACCATATCAAAGAACTCATTTGATCTGAGGAAATTTTCCATCAATATCGCCCAATGATCATAGTGACCATCGAATCTCGGGATAGCGGGTTGAACGAAGTTATCAACTTGCCTTTATGTTGTCATTCTTGCTGCTGCAAGATCGCTCTGATACCAGCTGTTGGTGACAGTAGAAAAATTTGGTAGAATTCGGTAAGAGAAGAGAACTTTATATAACTATGTATGCTTAATTGATTTTCTACTTCTTCCACCAATGCCAACATATATATATATATTCCAAAGTCATGCACCTAATTAATTATGAACAAATGAACCTAGATGTATCTATTCATACATGTCCTTATACATGTATCTATAAGTGACCCTTCAACACATATATTTATTTATACATGCATCTACAAGTGACCCTTCAACATCTTACATATCTTTTGCCAACTTATCGGCTCATCACAACTAGGATCTCTTCCATTTATTTCTCGATGGTATTCACTCCTACTTCAGAGGCCTAGATGTCTTGTTGCAACCGATATCAACTCGGATAGGCTAGAAACTTGTATGAGCCATGACTTATGATGATGTATGTGAATTATATGATTTATGATGTACGAGCTATGACGTATGATGACATATGTGAATTATGTGATGATGTATGAGCTATGATGCATGATGACGTATGATGACGTATATGAGTTATATGACGATGTATAATGTCCTTGCTGTTCTTGATGTATTGGATGGCATTATGACGATTATGATGTTTATGATGCATGACGTTTACTTTAATATGATAATGTTTTCCATATCAAGCATGATGTATGTGATGAATTCCATGTTGCATCATTTCGAGAAATCGGCCTAGGACATAACTCTAAAGAGTATGAATAACGATATTAACATAAATATATAATGAGCATGTATTGCTAAAAGTAATATAGAGATGAGACTATGGTTGTGTCAGAAAGATGTTTTAAGATGAGAAATAGAGGGACCTCATGCATGTTGTGCATATATAAGCATTGAGATACTTCCCCTTTATGTTGTGCATACATAGATTGAGTATTTAAAGAATTACTCAGTAAGTAGTTCCACTATTGAGGTCGGGAAAAGTAATCGCATGCCATCTTGGTAGAACCTATCTTTTCATAAAAACATCATAGTCTTGAACTCTATTTCTCAATCCCACTTTCTTAATATAATCAACATAGGCCAACCTTTTTATATTATCTTTTTTTTTAAAATTTTATTTTTCTTCTTTATTTATTTATTATTTATTATTATTATTATTATTTGTTGTCAACGACTTCAATTTGCAATAAGACGCATGCTCTCACATTGAGGCTTAATCCAACAATCAAATCTGCCATCTTAACGCATCAAGGACAACCTTCACATATTCAAAAAGATATGAGGTCATCTAAATTATAGTCTCTCAAAATTGTCTAGACTTTCAATATGCTTCTTTATATGGACAACAAAGCATGTCGAGCTATCCCTACTCTCGAATCACCGGGTCATGTTATTTTGTTTTCTAGGGTCTCAACCCTCAACATCAACTCTTGTATGGACATCCTATCTACGGGACAACAATGTATTAATCTTTTCGACTTTGATGACAATTTCATCAAAGCAAGATTCTTAATATCAAACATTGTCAAGACTTATTGCAAATAAAGCATTTGTTCTTTAATCTCAATCGATCGGTCAACATGGAATTTTTTAAAATGTTTAATCGTAGATATGTTTATCGATTCCACTTCTAGGAGCCTAACTTGTTCTGATATCCATTATTAAATTCACACTTCTTCTCAATTCACAAAGCAATTGTGTGATACTTATCCTCGCTCTTGAGTAACTCCGTCTAACTCAAACTTTGATGTCGTGGTCTCTACCCTATTTTTGGATTATAATTTTAGAATATAGGGTTTGAGAAAGTCTTAAAAAGCATTTTGGAAAGCATTTTTTTAGAAAGTAGCTGTTATATACAACAAGTAATAAGAAACCACAATGAATGTGATAACATATAACAAAGGAAGAAAACTTTGACTCTTGGGATTTATGCGACTCAATTTTAATCTCGAACTATGATCTAATGCTTGTGAGAACTTAACCTTTGACTTATATAGGTAAAAATGACTTTTGTAGTCGATGTAATATGCCTACCATTTTGGGGACTTAATCACATAGGGAGCTAGAAATATAATTTTACGAGATGTAACTCACTCTTTTTCATACTGAGGTAAATAGATGAGTAGTTCCTTGAATATTTTCAGGATTTGAACAATGAGTCAAGATCGATATTACTTAAGGCATATGATGTAATTATAAAAGTAAAATGGACTTTTGACTGAGCTATAATCATAAACAATTCCAAAAAAATTGACTTACATATAATAATTGTATCACCAGGTACAATTTGTTCTATAATGCATAAGGGTATAATTTTAGATTTATAGTCGAGTGATGTACCATTAATGAATCAAAATTGATTGATTAATTAACTAGTCCGCTAATTCGTAGTGACACTAAAATGATTAATTTAGTTAAATGTAAGGTTTAATTTATTAGGTAAAGAAAATATAAAAGAAAAAAAATATTTATTGTATTTAATACACTAGATATTAAAATAATTAATACATATTATATGTATTAAATAAAAATATATGTTTAAAATTTGAATAAGATTTACATCAATACGATATATTGAAA